AAAACCTGCAGGTATAGTCAATGCTCTGTTAAAATGAATACGTTTCGGACGCATCAAAGTATAAGTCCTGTGTCCTTCTAAATAATCTTGGACAACATTTTTAGGTATATGTTTGAGTACTTTTCTAGCCTCCTTCCATAGTCTATCCACACCTGAAAAGGCGGCGGGAGACTCTGGATTATTGTATAAATCTTGTAAAAGTTTAGTATAATCACCCATCTTTACCACAATGAAGGTTTAAATGTTTTACCGCTTGCTTCTTTGCGTTTAGCTTTTATAAGCCTTAGCATCCATTCTCTGCCTGCTCTTGCTGACTGTTTTTTAGTGACAGGCTTGACCTTTTTTAAAACAACTAGTGGACTTTCGTCTGGGCCTTGCCATTTTCGTTTTAACTTTTGACGTCTTCGTACGTCATCTTCTTGACGAGCCTTTAGCATTTCTACTTGGTCTAGAGGGATTTTTAGTTTTCTTATATCCCTTCTTTTTAATTCCCTTTCTTTTTGTTTCTTCCTAATATTTTCCAGACGTTGATCATCTTTTATTCGTCTTAATTCAATTTTTTTCCGTTCCAACTCATCAATTTTCTTTCTTTTACTTTCTTCGATATTAAAAGACTGCCTCCTTTTTGTAGCTTGGGGATTTGGTGGTGGTGGTACATATGTGACCTCTTTATAATATTGCGGAGTGTAAGGTATCTTTTGCTCCCTAATAGCCTTTTTCCTTTCTAGATATTGTCTTTTCTTTTCCTTTTTTCTATAGTCCTCCCCATCATCAAAGATTTCTTTTTTAATAGGTTTAGCTTCGTAACTTTCATCTATTAAATGTCTTCTTTTATCTGTTCCAATCTCTTCGACACGCTTTCTTTTAGAGGGTTTGTAATAGGTAGGAATAGTTGGTTTTTTAGTTTTAGGTTTCAAAGTAATTGTAGGTTTAATGTCAGGCTGGATAGGTGGTATAATATTATAAGATGGTGTTTCTTTTGGATATGAACTAAATGACATATCTTCACTCATCCACATATTATCGTCGTCTTCCCCAATATTTGAAGCTGGAAGAGAAGCGGTAGTATTCATAATAGCACCTTTTGGACTTGCAACCATCTCTACCTTAACTGGTCTATTTTGCTGTTCGTTTCGTAATTGCAAATATCGTCTAAGTTCTTGATTATAGTGCACATTTTTTGCACTAGGTGTTTCTCTTTTCAATTTGGTTTTCTCAAGACCTTGACGTACAAAATCCAAGTTTGGTTCACCTGTATCATAGGTTGTTAAACCCTTGTAAATTTCTTCTGGAACTAAAATAAATTTATTTGCCATAATTAATTTTATATTAAGATGTAGCAGGGGCTTTTATAGTCATCATCCTTGCCATTTCGATGAGCACAGGTGTCAAAAGAGCTGCAAAAACTCCTACTCCGTCACCTTTTTGATTAATAACATGTCTTGCTCCTCGTTCACTCCTAACCCTACTCATACTTCGCACAAATTCGGCATGAGGTAATAATCTTTTCTTTTGGCGTGTTGTAAGTTTGAACCTCTCTTTTACAATATTCAAACAAATTTCAGCTAAAGCTAAAAGTTGTTCATTATTTGATAATTTTAAAAGCCTTTTCCTTTTTCTTTTAGATTTAGTCTTTGACAATAAATGTAAAAATTTCAAGTTCTCATTAATTAATTGATTAACCATTTCCGTTTATAGGAATAAAAATTATCTTTTCATCGTCTTCCTTAAATATGTTGGTCCTAAGACGGAGGGTAGGATCCGAAGAAGCATGCATATCGACGAGTAAGTAACCAAAAGGTTGTTTGGTTGCCTGTCGATAGGAATCAAGAAAATAATCCAATTGTTTGGGAAATAATTGTACACCTATGTTTCTGATAGATAGCATAGAATTTGGTGATCTCATCAACACAAGATATTGAGAATTTTGTCGTGCCACTTTAATCTTTTTATCGAATAAATTTTGTGTGACAAAAATTACAGAAAAATTTTGATGGTGTGATTTTTTGGTGAATAATTCGGATAAATATTTTTCGTCAACAGAAAGAATTAGATCATCAAGAATTAGTAATAGTGGCTTCGGATATTTTTTTTAATCAAATCCTCAGGTGGAACTCCTGCAAATACATCAACTCCAGATTTTTGCAAAAGAGGTACAATATTGTTCATCTCACCAAAGCAATAAAGTATCGACTTTGGTTTAGGTTCAATTAGATCTGAAGCCTCCGAAATAAGTTTTAATAATAATGTACTCTTTCCACTTGAACTAGGACCAGATATAATCATTCCAAAAGGTAATTTAAATTTTAAATCTTTATTCGAGAAAGCTAAGGAATTCATTATGAATAATTTATGAATATAAGAAAATTTCACTTAAATATCTTTTTAATCGGTTGGTATTCCTGTCACCGTTGCATCTAAACTCTGAAAGAAATCATCCAACTCCTCTTTTGAAGGAAGTGTATCCAAGGGTTGGGGTGTCTGTGTCACTTCTTCAGGAATTGTGGGGAGAATTTGTGGTGGTTCAGTTTTGGGAATCTCTGTAGAAGCATTGTATGGTACATTAAAAACTCGACCTTTATTCTTTACTTTGAAGAAGCAATGCCCTGGTAAATCATATAATAAATCAAAAGGAACAAATCTACTTCCTTCAAATCGTGTGCAATAGACTACCACTCCTTCCTTTACTATTATAAAATCTAGTTCAACTTCCGTGCTCTTACACTTACGGCACTTCCCTCCTTGGTCATATGGAAGAAAACGGGGTGTTGTATAACGGACACTGGAAATTGTAATCCCTGTCGATGAAATGTTAAATTCAACCTCAGGTAATAATTTTGGGTACTTCATTTTTAAATTAATTTATCAGTCTATGCCTCCGTTTATACTAACTTAGGAATATTTGACGTGAAGTAAAATAAATTTCTCTATACAAAACTAAACAAATATGGAATAAACCACCATTTTGAATATATTAGATAATTAAAACTGGTAGAGTAATTTAATACATGAGGGGATGTTGCAATAGTTCGGTTCAGGTTCAAGTCTAATTGTAAACTGTCATTGTATCTCTTTATACCATGGTGGCGAAATGGTGTTAACCTATAAAATTCAAAGTCTTCCGCATTCGCCCTAGACCCTTTTAATAGGTGTATTGGACACTGACATCTTCCTGGTATAGGTCCTGTAATGTTATAGGGTAGATTTAATAAGTATTTTGGGCATCTACATGGTTCTTGTTTCCACATATCCTGCCATCTGGGATCATCTACTAGAGATAAGTTTAAAGAATAAGAAAGAGGAAATAATAAAAATAAGATAAACATTTTGATTAAAGATTGTGGAAAATTGTGGCCTTTTTATACCACTTCATTCAAAATCTCCTGAGTACGAATCAGCTCGTCGAGCCGGTCAGAAAAAGTACCCATATGCCTATAATTGGAACAGTTTTATGTTCCAAGGTCTAGAACTCAAGTTTTGAGCTCGATTTTAGTTTGAAACCACTTTCGTACGATTTAGCTCATCAAACTGATAAAAATGTCAAAATGGCATATGTCAACTGACATATGTCAAAATGTCAATTAGCTAATGTCAGGATGTCAATTTTGCCAAAAAGTATGTGGGAAGGTTAGGAGATATTTATTAACATTTTTTCTGTTTATTTTTTAAAACTATCTCCTTTGAACCGGTTCAAATGTACTTCTGAACCCTTTGGGAACTTTAGAAAAGGTGTAAGAAATATGGGAAAGGTTTTTCTATTTATTTAAAAATTTTACCTCTAAACCGGTTTGATCAAATTTCTTCAAACCGTTTAAACCTTTGGGAAACCCTTAAACCTTTAGTTAATTTTTAACCAACATTGGGGGAAGGTCTAACTACTTTATTTATAAAATTCACCTTTTTTCCCTTTTCTAACAATAATTTTGCAATTTCATTTGCAAATGACTGATTTTAGGTAATTATTTCTATTTTTGCAAATTTTTCCAAAAAAAATTTTTGCATGACTGATTTTGAGGTTATTATTTCTATTTTTAATAAATTATTGTATTTTTCAACAAATAAAAGTAAAAGTGAATAAGAAATGTATAAAGGGTAGAGAAGATGTTGGAGAGGTGTATTTTAAACTGTTTATAAAAAAGTATGTGGAATCCTTCTTTGAACCGGTTAAACCAGTTCAAAACCACTTTTTGAACCCTTAAACCTTTAGGAACAATTTTTACTTTTTGGGTATGTAATCTTATGAAAAATATAGGAAATCCTTCTTTAAACCGTTTAAACCGGTTTAAAACTACTTCTTGAACATCTGAACCATTGTGAGCCCCTTAAACCTTTGGACCTTTGACGACGGAAAGACTGTATTTTAAATACCTTTTAAATATGTGGGAGGGGCTAAATGGTTGGACCCCGCTGCCCCCCGCGACCCGGAGGGGTGGTTAACTACTAGTAAGGTAATGCATATAATCAATCAAAATAACCAAAAAGTCGAGAAAGGAAAGTGGAATTGTTTTCACACAGAAAGCCGCTTATCAAATCCTGATTTTCTTTTAAATAAGGATTGGGCGATGGATTGATGAAAAATTGCTTGGACTTTTTAATATTAATTTAATTAGGAAAAATTGTTCAAAAAATAAATATAAAATATTTGGAAAGAAAATTAACTTGCTACTTTGACAAAATAAAGTCTATAAATAAAAATAAATTTAATAAAAATTAAATTCCGGTGCGGGGAATCGAACCCCGGCCGCCTGGGTGAGAACCAGAAATCCTAACCACTAGACCACACCGGACACTGAAATGTTTTCTTTAAAAATCAACTAAAAAGAAACAATATGAGTAATTTATAGCCCCACTTTGCTATTTGAACTGCTAAACTTTGTCATTCTGATTTTTATTTTTTTCTTAAATTTTTTTAATTTTATTTTTTTTAATTTTTTATTTTTAATTTTATTTATTTAATAAAATTTAGCCTTATTTTAATTTATTGATTTAAAAACAAGTAAATGTCTTCATTTCCTTCTTTCTCTCAAAAGCATCTTTCTGGTAATCGATTCCAAATTCGAGGATTTCCAAAAATTTGGACAGACAAGCTTACTTTTGACGATATTGCGGTTTTCTTTTAATTTTTAAAATTTATAAAAATTATTAAAAGTGGTATTTGTATGATTTATTGGTTAAATATGGAGCTATTGAGAATATTGTGATTAGCTGTTCTAAGAGGGATATGGTTGTTTATGGGTTTGATTTTTGGGGTAATTAATTTTTAAATAAATATTTTTTAGAATTGTTGATATGAAAAGTGGAAAGGGTATTGCTCGTATTAAGAATGAAATGCTTGATAAATATGGAAAGTTTTATTTACAAAATTGGGATGCTGCTTTATCTGTATATTTTTTTTTAATTTAATTGAGTAAAGAGGGGGGGGGGAGGAAGTAGGGAGGATAGGGAAAAGAAATTTAATATCAAAAATTCTTTTTTGGATATTTTATTTTTTATCTGCTATTTTCTAAATCTAATATCAATTAATTCTTTTGACTTCTACATGTCTCAGGATTAGGGTTGCCGTTTTCGAATCGGGCCGACGATCGAGTCATTTTTTTCGGGCTTGTTTTTATCGAGTCGGGCCGAATATCTTATGCCCGACTTGATCTTTCGGTCCTTTTTGGCAACCCTACTCAAGGTTTTTTAGTAGGGATAATTTAAGGGATTTCAGTATATTTTTTAGTAAGTTCTAAAAGTCCTGGACATTTATTAAATCTTTGATCTAAGCCCGGATAAATAAAAACCAAAAAAATTTCATTTCAAGTCCTGACACGACCATCTAGTTTAATTACAAGCCACTTTGATAATCTTTTTTTATTTTTAAAAATCTTACAAAAAATTATTTGAATAATTTTTTAAAAAAAATTAATTTTTTTTTTAATTTTTAGTTTCGACAAGTCGATGCCGACACAACCAAAAAGCTCGAGGATTTAACCAAAAAAATTTCTTTGAAGGATTTAGTTAAACAATTAACTCCACCACAAAGTACCGAAAGTTTTCATTCAGTTAATACTGCAGACAAAGCAATAGCTGATTCTTCTGATTTTGTTTATAGCCGGGAATTTCTTTTGAGCTTGCGTGGAACGGTTTTATTTAATTTAAAAATTAATTTTTAATTAATTTTTTGATTTTCTATTTAAGTAATTTTTTACATAATTTAATTTTTGAAGGGTTTTTGGGAGGTATTGTAGATAGACTTTTATTTTTTAATTAAAGCATTAATGGGTTTTTACGGGGAATTTTAGTTTTCGACAACAACTTTTTAGGAGATCAGAACTCCTTGAATACCTAACCAAAAATTCCCAAATTTTGGGGTCTATTAGGAAACACTCGGAAGAATAAATAAGCAAAATTTCACAGCTTTTGAACATCTACAAAAAATTCTATAACCATTTTTGTAAAACAAACTTTTTTATGAAACGACCTAGTATAACACGGGATTATTAAATGTTTTTTTAATTAATTGTGGAATTTAAATTAGAAAAAAATTTATTTTTATTTTTTTTAAATAGATTTCTCCATCTCGTTACCAGACTGACCCACAATTTTCTGAAATTCTTCGTTCTGTTGAAAATATTGATTATGGCTATCCAAATGCTCGAAATAATAATTATAGAAGTAATAATCGCAATTTTCGTCAAAATGAGACTCGTGGAGGTTTTAATTACAACAATGGAAATGTATATTTTTTATTAATTATTTTAAGGGAAATAAAGAAAATTGTTTAAAGAAAATTAAGTAATTCCTCCTTCCAAAGTCCTTTTTTTTAATAAAAATTTATTTTATATTTTTGGCTGATTTTGCTTTAATTGATCTAAAAAGGGGCTCGGATCTCGAATTTTCAAAAATCCGCAATTTTTAGCTGATAAATCCGCATTTTATTTTAAGAAAATTTTGAGGATTTTTGAAGGCTAGAAGAGAAGAAAAACGACATTTTGTTCTAAAAACTAAGAGAAAATACAAAAAATCCTCATAATCTTCAAAGGACCAAAGATCCAGGGAAAATTTGCACATACATATCCGACCCTGATCTAAAATAATTTTTATTTTTTGTAAATTTTTATTTAAAAAATAATTAAAATTATATTTTGTAAAAGAATGGATTCCCCCATAGAAAAAAATTTAAAATATTTTTGGTTTTAAAATTTAATTATTTTTATATTTTTAGAAGACCAACAACAATAACAATTATTTCAATCGAAAATGATCTGAATTTTTTTTTGAATTTTAAAAATATTTTTGGCAAAGAAAATCTCTCTTCAGCACAATTCTTTTGATGACAAATTTAAAAAGAAAATACAAATCTCTTTCAAAAAAGTAAAAAAAAACTTTAATTTATTTTAAATTTATTTTAAGATAAAAATTAAAAAAATATTTTTTACAATTTTTTTTAGCAAAGTCCATATTTAATAATCATTTTATTAGCAAATTCTATATATTGTTTTTGGGCCTCTTCTATTGATAGACCTTTAAAAAATAATTTAAAATTTTTGAAAAATCAACAAAAATTCCCTTTTCCTCCCACATTAAGTCGGGAAAAAAATTATTTTTTAATTTTGGGAAAGTTAAGAAAAATATATCTAAAATTTTCAAAAATATTTTGCATATGAGTCAGTCAAAAAAAATTAATTCCATTCTCCAAATAAATTTTTCAGGCTATGTTTTTAATTACCTAATTAGATTGTACTCAAAAAAATAATTTAAAATTTTTTTTTATTTTAAATTCAAAAAGAAAACCTTTTTTTCCATTCCAGGCCTCCCATTTTTTCTTCCCCCTAATATCAAAAGTTCCAGGTTTACAATTATTATTATCTCCACAACTTCCTTGTTTATAAAGAGCGTAAAGTTGCATTAATTCTTCGTTGTTTGGAGAAGTTTTGAGATTTTTTATCTTTTTTTTTTGAATTTAAATTAAATTTATTTTTTGGGGGGTTTTCTTACCTTTGCAGCTATTTCTTCAAATTCCTTAAATTTTATTTTAATTTTTAAAAGGTTTGGTTTGGTTGGAAATTTTATTTTATCCCGCTCTAAGAATCACTTGTAACGAAATTTCTGGGATGCCCCCTTCGGCCCCAAGACAACCAACCCTTACAATCTGATATGAACACCAGGGTGTCCCTTTTACCTCTTTTTAGGGGAATTTTTCCCCTTTTTGACCCTCTCGCCCCTTTTTCTGCACTGCCACTTTTTTGAGGTGCCATGCCCCTTTTTGGTGATTTGGAAAGGGACACTCTGATGAACACAAACCTGCCCACTTTTGTAATTAACCCGAGAACCTAGCCCTTACTGTTTTGACAGCATTCCTCCATATATTTTTGGAATTCTGTATCCCGTTCTATTAGACTTTTAGCAGTAGCACGATTACATGTTTATGAATGGAGTTTATTTATTCCATTAATTTATTTACCCTCTCCTCTCAAATTTTTAATTAACTAGTTAATTAATATTTTTTATTAAACTAACTTGACTACAACTTGCCATTAATAAATTAAATATTTAAAAACTTAATAGGGTAACAAAAAATTAAAAAATATTTATTTTTAAAAATTAAAAAAAAAAGAAAATTTTTTGATTTGAAAAGACAAACAAATGTGTCAATATTTGCGATCTAAATATATTTTCTAATCAATAAATAGGACACAATGTTTGTTCTTCTATTTATTTGGCCAAATAATATTAGCTATGTTCTAATAATTTTTGATTATAGAAAAACAAATTTTTTGATAATCGTAGGTTCGGAAATATATTTTTGTTTAGAAATTTGTATAATTTTGTTTAGAAAAAATAAGTTAATTAAGCATATTCAAACTTTTCTCCTTAAGAATTCAATTTAAAACACGTTAAATCTCAGACTTTTCTAATTTAAACTCTTTAATTTTAATTGTTTAGTGTAAAAGATTATTTAATATCATACTTCAGTCGAGTTATTTTACTCAAACCTAGATAAACCTCGAAAAAAGATGGGTTTTATTAAATTTTTTTAGGTCACTAGGTAGAGGGGGCTGTCTAAAACACCTATTTAAAACATCTCATTAGCAGAAAAAAATATCTAAAAGAGGTTCGACTAAATCTCTCATTTGTAAAAACAATTTTGGTTTAAATTGGGAGAAGTATAGGTATATTTATCTAATATGGACATAAATATCAAAATTTTATACAAAAAATTAAACAAAACTTTTAAATACAAATATTATGTACATTTGGGTAGAAAAGACTTGAGGGGATATATTTTAGTTTTTTTGGAGTTACATATGTACAAAATCATATATTCTTTTTAAATAAAATTTAAATTCATTTTTTAATTTTACTTTGTTTAACCATTTTTCTTTCATTTTCAACAATTTTTTCATTGTTAAATTTAAAATCTTCTTTTAATAAAGAATTATAAAATATGTCGTTTGTTCCTTCTTTAATTATTATTTGATAAGCCTAAAATATTTAATTTAAAATTAATTTAAAATAATATTTACCCCCAAATTAAGTTTAATAAAATTTATATCATTCCAATTAATTTGGTTTTTCTCATATTGTTCATTTAATTTTTTCATTGCAATTTCTCTAAATTTTTTTGGATCTTGAATATTTACTTGTTTTTCCTTTTTTGCAATTTTATGTTCGTATTGGTGTATTAAATAAATAATTGTTGGCTTATTTTCTAATTGGAGAAGAAAAGACGAAAAAAAACATTTATCTTCAGCTGGAAATTTTTAAAAATTTTAAAATATTTTCAAGAGGAATTATTATTTTTAGAATGGGTGATCGAGGATGGGCTCTATTAATTTTTGTTTAATATTTTTGAATGTCTATCAAGTTTATTTTTTGGTTTGACTGACTGCCGAATAGCAATTACTAACTATACATAGTTAGAATTTTTGTGATATACCTTACTTATTTTACAAAATCATTTAAGGCCATTATCTATTCCCCAACACTATCCGGAACTTTAAAAAATCATTAAACTTACGGTTATCGTTAAATAAATTCATTTTTCCCGATTCTTCATATTCTCTCTCAGATACAAAACTTTCCCCATCAGATAAATAATTTCTAGGTGATTCTATATCCCTACAAGAACCTTCAAAATCACTGACACTTCCCCCCTCCTCCTCCTCATCTTCTTCCTTTTTAATTATTCCATAATTTAATTTTTCCACTTCCAATTTATGAATAGTTTCCAAGAAAATTTTATCAGTTTTTTCAAAACTTTTAATTTCTTTTTCCATTTCTCCTAACAATTCTCTAGCTTTCTCGACAAATTTTTCTACAGGTATTTTCATTTTATTAATCTCATTCCAATCATGTTTCAGTTTTTCTTTATTTTCTAATAATTCTTTTATTTCTCCCTTTTTTGGATTGGCCCTTCTCAATTTTGGAATTTTTAGACTTTTATTATTATTTGAAGAAGAAGAATCTTTATTTTCCCCGATTAAATCTTTAGCATTTTTTATTGCTTCAAAATAATCTTTAGAAGAATGATTAATATCAAGCAATAATATTTGATATTTATTTAATTTATTTTTATCATAATATTGTTTAAATTCTTCCTTTAAACGCACATATTCATATGTGCATTCCACCATCTAAATTTTTTTATTTTTAGAGGTTTTGAAATTCTGAATCTCCGTCCCTAACAGAGGTGTTTCGAAACAAAAAAATCTTCGAAAATCGGAAATCGAAAATCGAAATAAATCCAAAAATATCGAAATCGAAAATCGAAAATATTTTTTAAAATCTTCGAAATCGAAAATCGGAAATCGAAAGAAAAATAACCTCGAAAATCGAAAATCGAAAAACGAAAATCGAAAAAAAAATTTTTAATAAAAAAATGAAAAATAAATTTTTGGTACTTATCGGTTATGTTACCACATTTTCTTTCCTTTTATTTCCTTTTCCTCTCCAAAGTTACTTTAACTCTAAGGAATTGGGGAAAACTAATGACTAGAATAGGAGATCCAGGGAAATCATGGATATCCAAACCCAAAATTTTGTTATCCGAATCTACGGCACCGACTCCGACCTATTCAAATCTTGGTCCGGAGCCGGTGATTTTCTGTGCCGCTTCATGGTGTCTCCAGACTCCGGGGGAAAGTTAAATATTAATATTTCATCATGAGATCTGTGAGGATTAAGAGGGATAATGGAGGATTAGAGTAAAAACCCTGATATAGTGAAACAGAGCTAGACCGCTTTACTTAAAAGGTTGGGCGGTACAGGCATAAGGTTCCGGCATGGGGGGTGGGCTTCCTACTCCACATTAATTCGAGCAAATCCTACAATATACCTGAGCCGGAACATAATATTGTTTCAGGGATTCCTTTTTTACCGCCTGAGTCGAAAATTTTGAGGATTTTGGAAGACCAAGTCACCAGAATTCTTCCTTTTTCAGCGCCGCAGGCGAAAATTTTGAAAATTTTGGAGGATCCTTAAGCCATAAATCTTCCTTTTTCTGCGCCGCAGGCGAAAATTTTGAATATTTTGGAAGGCCAAGAAGCCAAAAATCTTCCTTTTTCTGCGCCGCAGGCGAAAATTTTTTAAATTTATGATGGCCGATAAGTCAGAATTCCTACTTTTTGGCGCCAAAAATTCAAATTTTTTCAAAAATTCGAAAATCGGAAATCGAAAATATCTCAAAATTTCGAAAATCGGAAATCGAAAATCGAAAGGAAAAAAACCTCGAAAATCGAAAAACGAAAATCGAAAATCGAAATTTCGAAACAGCTCTGGTCCCTAACAACAATTCCTTTTAAAAAGTTTCACGCTTATAAAAATTAGCTACTCAAGTTATAATTCCGGTATTTCTTTCAAAAATCTAGCTGGATATCCAATTATTAACTTTAACATTTTTTTCAGTCTCCGAAAAGGTAGGTAATAGGCAGGCCGAAACTTGCGGACCGAAACTTGCGGACCCGACGAATTTCTCAAAACATAGCTCATTCGAAAGAGCTCGACGAGCTGAGTCGAACGTCAAAACCATCGTGATTGTACAAGCTTGGAAGTTATGATAGAAAAACTAAAACCTAAATTTATGGTCCGCAAAAGTTGGTCCGCAAGTTTCGCACTACCAAGTAATATGTATTTATAAATTATAAATTACCTTATTGTTAATTGTTTTTAATTCTTCATCAAATTTATAAATAATTTCTTTAATTTCATTAATTTTATATTCGGGGACTTTAATTTCATTATTATTCATTTCTTCCTTACATTTATTTTTTACGTCTAATTTAGTTTCTTTCCGAAAATTATTTTCTTCATTTTTTAAATTTATAGCTTCATTAACAATTTCTTTATAATGTTTTAATAAATTTTTAACTTTTGAAATCCACATATTTTCTTTATTAATAATTTCCTTATTTAAATCTGTCAGATCTGATTTGAATTCTTCCAATTGTTTCGAATTTTTTGAATACTTCAAATCTCTTATAACACTGTGGCTTTTTTCTATCGTTTGTTTACTTGCTTAAAAAAATTTTTTTTTATTTAATAAAATTTTTATTTTAAATATTTTTAGAGAGTAGAGAGAGGTCGAATTTTTAATAGGTTTTTTAATTGAAGACTTATGTTAAAAGACTAGGTAAAGATAAAATTAATTTCCGTTCCCATGTTTAATTTTTAAATTTACTCATTAAATTATCCGTCAGTTGCCACACATCAAGATTAGACAATGAATCTAAACTAATACTTCGTTTGATAGATTTGATAGATTCAGTCGACTTTTTTAACATTGCATTACTTGAAGGCCACAAAATAAAAAGAAAAATCAAAAATAGAAGAAAAGTTTTATCAAAAATCATTTTCAAATTGCTGTATCCCTCCTAATCAAATAAACAAACTAAAAATAAATGTTGCATTCACATGCATTCACAGGCACATATATTTTGACCTCTTTCTATATTAAAAGGAATCCCGACCGTTATCAGAGTCTATCACAATTCCCGACCCTTATCTTAATATTTGTTATTCACTTGTTTTCGCCAATCTCGACTTATTAATGTCCCCTATAAATACTCATCCAAAATGGTCATTCAAATCTAATTAGAAGTGTTTTTATCAGGTCTGGCCAGACTCTTGTAATTGTCCCCTTTTCCCTCCCTTATGTATATATTTTAATTTGTAAATAGTTAGATGTAAATAAAGTTATTTAAAGAGTAGAATTTGTATAATCCTCGAAAGGCTTCGGAACCCAAACCCAACATTTGGTGCCACTTGTCCCGGGCAAGCCTTGTCGAGAGAAATGCGCATGAAATTAAAGCATAAAAAACGGAATTCCAGAAAAGTCGTAAATTAAATAATTAAATGTGCTGAAAGTAGAATAAAGAGATTAACAAATCCTCAAAAAATTGAGAGCTCGAGCTTAAACTCCTTAAATGATCTAAAATAAGAATTTTGCAAAAAGAGGTTAAATGAAGACAAAATTAGAACAAATTAGAATCGAAAGTTAAAAGTCGAAGAAAATAAAATTAAAATATTGAGCTAGAAGAATGTCATGAAATTTTTTTGTTTGGTTAAAAAGTGTTCTAAAGTTTAAAGTTTTAAAAAGTAGAAAAGATATGCTAACCGTTAGTTTTAAATCAAAATCAGAGAAACAAAGTAGCGCCGCGGTATTGAAAAATGCTCTTTGCTACCTCTTGATTATCTCTTTGCACATGTGAATAAAAGTTGTAGTACTGAAGGCAGGTGAAGCTAGGTGCACACTCTGTCGGCTAGGTGCCAGGTACTTAATATAATAATGAAAATCTGTACAGTAATAATAATAAATCAAGGCGGGTGCAGCTAGGTGCACACTCCGTCGGCTAGGTGCCTTGAGAAGGATATTAAGCGGGTAAAGCTGGGTGCATACGCCGCAGGCTTAAAAGCCAGATACTCCTTGAGATTTAAATATCTCGAAATTTTTTTTCAGTGAATATTTTGTATATGAAGATTTAAAACAACGGCAAGGTACAAAATTGAAGATAAATTTTTTTGATAATTTCTGAATGAAATGGAAAATTTGTAGAAGAGATTGAACGAAATGGAAAATGTAGAAAATACCATAGCTTAGGCTTCAAAATTGGTATCCAACGAAATTAAAGTGCAAAATTTCGTTGAGAAAGGAGAAAATTATTATATAATCAACAAAAGTAATCATGTAATGTTAGTTACCTATGAATAAGATATTAAAATATGAATTAAATTAAAAACTTGTTAGAAAGAAAAGTAAATAATAGTTCAGAAAGAACAATTTAATTCATTAGTTCAAAAAAAAACAGAAGCTATATTAAATAAATTGAGATAAAACGCTAAAATAAAAAATAACCTAAATTTGTCGAACATTTCTTAACAACATAAGAAATCTGGTCAGACCCACTTAAAATAGTAAGCGAGAATCAAATTTTAACCGTCAAATACACATTAAAAACTTAAACTGACGAGAATTGTAAAACAATTAGTATAACTTATGGAATAGTAAAACTTTCCGCTCTAAATAATTGACATTGCTAGGCTAAATTTGTGTTGAAAAAAAAAATATTTATTAGATAAAAGTAAAGGTTTAAATATTTATATGGAGGAAAAACAACAAACATTTAGAAATAGATTGTGGAAAATGACACAAATTTCAGAAAATTATGTTCAATTAAATATTTTTAGTTCAGAGGAAGAAAAATGGATATCCAGAGAATTTAAATGTTAAATTAATTTACAAATCGGTGGTTAGTTTACTTAAAATTAAATTTGAAGCTATCACTGATATTTTAACTCCTCTAAAATTAGTACAACATAATTATTTTAATTCGGCTGGAAGTGGGGATATAAATCAACCAGATTTACAAGTCTATACTGCTGGAAAACTTAATTTGCCATAAAAAATAAAAGGATTAAATAATCAAGATACCCTCCACTTGGAGGAATTTGTTTAGAAGATAGACAATTTCCAGATGCTGTTAATCATCCAAAAGTTTTTCCATCCATAATCATTTCACCAACAAATCTTACACTCGATTGAAAAAAAATGCGGAAACTTAAGCATATAGATAAACTTAAAATAAAGTAAAATACCCCTATAAAGAGAAATGGCAATAAAATTTTTTGAGATGTGAGAGAAAATGATATACTGATTAGAATCCAATTACAATACCATTAATACCGAGAATTCGCATAAAACTCCGGTCATGAAAAAAAAAATTATTTTTCTCAACTAATAACTTAAGCAAGCGTAAAATTTGAGCCCTCAGACAAAAAACACCAAACTGCGAATATTAGTTATATTAAACAGAACTAAATAAAATTTAGAAGAAAGCCAAAAATAAAAATAATTTAACAAATCCAATAGTTTCTAGTTTTCTCAAGTGAAAATAAATTTAGAATAGACTTTGGAGTTCATTTTTAAACACAATTGGAAGAAAGTCTTTAAAATTAAAAAAGGAGGTTTCGGAAAAAACTGCATTAAAAAAGCCTCTCCAATCTCCAAATTTTTGAGTAGAACTGAAAAAAATCACTAGACATGCTTTGATCACTATTATACAGGAAATGGATTTATTATAAGGAAGCAGAATGTAGAGAATTTATGTGAATCTGTAGACAATTAAAAGAAAAACAATTTCATTATAGGGGCGAACACAGAAAAAATATATTTGGACTTTTAATTAAATAATTCTCTTGATCCGATTATAATTCTCTTGATCCGATTATCACCCAACTGTTAGTATTGGGAATTCAGAAAAATATAAAAAGGTCATTGAAAAATAAGAGATAAGTGATCAAATTTTAACCGCAGATACATATTAAAATAAGTAACTTACCTTAAAGTATGCCATTGTTACAACTGTTAAAATACATAGAGCAGATGATAAACATATTTTAAAAGAATGTAAAAATACTCATAAAGAAAAGAGATGGAAACTAAATAAGATACATCCGAAGTAAGGATTTAAATAAAAAATGCCATGTGAGAGAATTGTCAATCAAGGCGAAATGACAATGTAGAAGATAATCAGTTCAGAAAATGATCCTCATTAAAAATATTAATCCTCAAACGAGAGTAGAGTTGAAAGTCATGCAAACCCACTAATTTAAAAAAAAAGGATGCTTAAACGATTTTAAAATATATATAAAATTAGGCTGTCAGATAAAATTCGGGCTCATTCAAAGACAGGCTAAATTAAAATTATAAAGAAGAAATTTTTCTATCACGAAATCAAATGATTTAACCGAGATGTTAAAACATAGCCCTGGACATAACAAATATTGGATTCCGGTTACTAGTTGCCTTTATCAATTTAAAAAAAAAAATATTAGGCAGCATTGAATAAACATTAAAAAAAATACAGAGATCGGAATAATTTAAAACAAAAACCCTCAGGTTCTTAATTGGAACTATAGAAGTAACTTTAAAAATAATTATTTCGTTGTTCAATAAAAAATACTTTGATGTAAAACCAAATCGCCGCACCTGCGAGCTTAAAAAAAATTCAACAAGCCTCGTTAATCAAATTTTAAAAGAGAATGGATATTAATCAGCAAATTAAATATTATTTTAAGTTATAACTGGTTCAGCCTAAAAGCTCACAAGGAGACTAAATAATTCCGAGTATTTTTCTTTCGAAAATTTATATGTAATTTTGCAGAGATACACAGTTCCCCGTATATCTTATAACAGGAGCTTCAAATATTGCTTAATCAGAATCTCTATGCAGAGTTGAGTAGTAACGCATTGACCAGTGCAAAAATAGAGACAACAAATATCTAGTGAAAAAATCCTAGATACATAAAGTAATCATTCAAATTGAAACTCTGAAAGACAGTAACATAACTCTTAAATCAAAAAATAATAAAGAAATTTGAATTACTTGCGAGAAAATAAAAAATTAAAAATTCGTGCAGATCTATAAGAGGCCTAATTAAAAAATCGGAAAAAAGAAATTTTAAGTTAGCGGCGGACACATCGGACACATTTAAAAATATATTCTGGCTTTTCAATAAAAATAAATAATTGAGAGTTACACATCCAAAAACCCCGTTTTGTCATCCAACTGGTATCGTGAATTCAGTAAAATATTATGTACAAAAAAGTCATTGAATAAAAGGGATAAAAGATACAATGAGATATTTCTAACGGGTCATCATATGTCTAGTAAATAAATAATACACAACTGGATATGCTAAGACACCGGCAAGGATAAATAACCATAAGTATCATCAACTGTACTATCAACTATGCTCACGCCGAGAAAAACACTAATTTCTTTACATAGTGAACTAGTTTGGGTCAGGAGTTTTTAGATAGCCGTCGATCATCAACTTGAGCCGGACTCAAAGCTGCACGAAGAGTAAAATAAAAAGAGTAATCCCTAAAAAATAGCAAAAGCCCATTCTAAAAAAAAAACAAGGACTTGACTAAAAAAAAAAAAATTTTTTTTTAATAATGGAGAGGGAAGTACAAAACCGGGAACTAAAAAACCGAGAAACAAAAGCCGAGAAAAACTAGCAGAGAAAAATCCCCCACTTAAAATTGGGAGAATCGACAGAATCATCAGAAGGATACAACTTCCAGCAACGATAACAACACAATCTCCTGCAGTAAAATCAACTCACAAAACTGGAGTATCAGCTGAAGATTGGTCATCTATATATCAACAAAAAATTTGTTCTGCAACTTGAAAGACCCCACTAAATTGCTGCTTTTTGAATGAATTTAAATAAAATCGTTTAATTTATTTATGCTAATTATCCCAACTTTCCCTCACCTTGTTTTCAGTTTATTTTCCCAAAAATTTCTGTACCTATGTAAAATATCCCCTAAATAATCATTAGTTCTGTAATGTAATATTTC